GGAAATAAATAGGGAGGTTTGAGAGAGTAGCCTTGATGAGAGTTAGTCTACCACCTTTGGGGAGACAATTTCAATTCCAAGTACTTAGCCATCTTGCACATTTCTCAGTGACAACCTCCCAAAAACTTGTAGGTCTCGGGTTTCCCCCAAGGGGAGACTCAGGTAAGAGAAAGGGAGAGAATCCACCCTACATCCCAAAGCATCCTTCAGGTCTGTCGTCAATTGAGGGGGGGGGGTGTTGATGCCTACTCTAAATTTGTCTTCAGCCCTGTTACTGCTTCAAAACACTTCAAGATCCTCTTCAAGTTTAAGAGAAAATCTTTCTTTGCTTTGATAAAGAAAATGGTATCATCTGCATATTGAAGGTTAAAAATTTGAATATTGTCATGCCCCACCAAAAATCCTTTTATTATATCAAAATCTATAGCTTTTTTTCATGAAGGCATCCAGATTATCTGCTACCAATGTAAAAAGGAGAGAGGAGAATGGGCAACCTTGCTTGAAGCCTCTAGAAGTTTTGAAGTAATCAACTGAGGAGCTATTTACCATAATTGAGAGCCAAACCAATCTGATGCAACCTTTCATCCAATTAATCCAGACTTCCCCGAAACCTTTAAGTTCCAGAATCCTCCAAAGGTAATTCCAATCTACCTTGTCATGGGCTTTCTCTAGATCTATTTTGCAAATTACCCCACTTAACCTTCTCTTTTTTCTATCCTCCATCACTTCATTCACTATCAAAACCCCATCCACAATTTGTCTCCCTTGAATGAAGGCACTCTGAGTAGGGGCTACCACCTCATTCAAAACTTTCTTGAGCCTGTTTGCCAAAACTTTTTCAATTATGTTATAAAGGCTGCTTAAAAGGCTGATAGGTCTAAAGTCTGACATTCAAGCAGCCTTCCTTCTTAGGGATAAGTTTAATGAAAGTAGAGTTAGTACCTTTGTTAATTTTTGCTGACCTATAAAAGTCTGCAAACACTTTGAGTAAGTCATCTTTCACAAGATCCCAACACTCATGATAGAAATCGGCTGAGAAACCATCCAGCCTGGGAGCCTTATCTTCATCAATGGAGAACACTGCTTCATTGATTTCCACTTCATCAAATTCTCTTTCCAGCCAACTTCTACTTTTCTCTGAAATCTTCTCACAATTCCAAGAAATCAGGTTTGACCTCCAAGTCCTATCAGAAGAGTAAAGGTCCGTAAAAAAAATCAGCAATCTCCTTTTTTATCTGAATCATGTCAGCCACTTCTTAACCACCCACCTTCAGTTTGGAAATCTGATTTTTCCTACTTTGAGAATTAGCATATCTGTGGAAGAACCAGGTGTTACCATCACCCTCCTTAAGGAAATCTGATTTTTCCTACTTTGAGAATTAGCATATCTGTGGAAGAACCAGGTGTTACCATCACCCTCCTTAATTCATTGGATTCTCAATCTCTGTCTCCAATATATTTCCTCCCTATGCATAAGGTCTCCCACTTTTAAAAACTTAAATCCCTGAACCTGACCTAAAACCCATTTAAGGTTGACCCAACACTAACCTGATATGGTCAGGTTAATGTGGGTTTTCCACTTAAACCTGAACCACTAACATGCTTAGCTCAATGTTTATTGAAAACATTCCTTGAACCTCTCATCCATCTTAATGCCCAAAGACTGTTCTTTAATAAGATGACATGCATTGTAATTTGTAAGCGTTGTAACTGCAATATACGTCAATGAAAATTCACCTCAGCATTGATGTAAGATAGGGTAGGGGGTCCCACAAATTTCAGATTTGTGGTGGGCTCTAGAGAGTGAAGGGTCTGATTTTCTGGTTTTTACTCTTATTACTTCTTTTATAAAGTCTTATGTTTTGTTTTGTTTTTTCTGGTAAATAAGTCTTATCCAATCCTTCTAATGCAGTGATGGTTTTTCCTGTAAAGGAGATGTAGAGTGAGCAGGCTCTACCTAAGATTATGACTCTGTTGGGAGGTCTATAACTCGAGTATCAAAAAACCCTTGTGAGATTTGCAAAGGAGAAGGCCAAATTGGTGTGCTTCCCCACACATCTATTCCTTTTGTCTTACAAGCAGAGAATACTTACTGCTTGTTCATCTTCTGCCCTTTTGTGGCAAGCATTTTGTTGAAGTTCTTTTACCTTCTCTGGTGATCTAGAAAGCCTCTTCATAATGTGGAGATGCATTAGGGCAGGGAATCCACATTATGGATAGTATCAGAGGAAAGGAATGATGGAAATTTTAAGGGGAAGAAGAAAGTATCACAATTAAGGTGATTCATTGGGTCAAATCTTGCAAATCTTTGGCAACATATCTATGGGTGATTTCTCAAGAGGTTGGCAATGGATAGCAAATCTTTGACAACATATCTATGGGTGACAACATATCTATGGGTCAACTCTAGAGTCAGCATCTCTTCAAATGGAGTCCTCCAATCTCGTTTCAGATTAAGTTAAACTTTGATGGAAGCAGTATGGGCAACCTTGGCCCCTCTGGTATGGGAGGAGGTATTTTTTGAGATTGTAATGGTTCAATCATAGCCTCATAATCTGTACCAATTAGGCATTGGGGCTCCACAAGAGTGGAGCTAAGAGCAGAGTACTTCAAGGCCTAAGACTAGAAAATTTGCTTAACTTCCATAACTTAATAGCGAAAGATCCTAAAGTGGTGATAGACTGATTAAGGAACAATAGTTGAGTCTAATGACATCCATTAGGAAAAAGCAGAGTCACATCACAACATCAAAATGTTGCGAAGGAAATTCAAGACTTGGAGAGGGGAAGAACCAGCCATTGTAATTGGGTACATAGATCAGCCAACCATATGGTTGATGCTTGATCCAGATAAGGGGTAAGCTGATCTGAGCTGTTTTGAGGACAGCTGAGGGACAATCAGCTCTAACAATAAAGCAATGGTGGGGCTGGGATTAAACAGCAGGTTCTGGCCTATTGCTTGTGGTTCTTAATGCTTTCTATATATTACATTCTTTTTCACATCTAACAAAATTTTTAGTTATTTGTTTTTTTGATCAATAACTAGAAACTTTATTAAAGATATGAAACTATGTGAAACTTAGGTACAAAGGAGAGGTAAAAAGACTTAACTCCCCATCAAAGAGTACAAGGAAAAATAAAAAATTAGCCCAAAAACTCGAATCCCTATTCACCCCTTGCTTTGCTAAACCATCAGCAAAGGAATTAGCAGTCCTCTTCACCCAGTTGTAATGAACCACCATATCCCTACTCGGCCATTTAAATTTATTCTTCTCATTGTTATAACTCCATAAGTCGCTGTCTCCCCCTTTTAGCCACCTAATCACCACCTCTGAGTCACCTTCAAGGACCAAACATCTGATGTTCAGCTCCCTTGCTCTTTGGATGCCTTCCAGGGCTGTGAGGATCTCAGCCCTAAGAGAGTCTCCTTCCCCAATTGGGCCTGAAAACATAGCAATAATAGCCCCCACCTCATTCCTGAATACTCCCCCAATGTTAGGTAACTGCCTAACTAAGGGCTTTTCGAGGAAGCCTGCCTCCTGAAACGAGAGAGAGAGAGAGAGAGAGAGAGAGTGAATTTCCAAAATCAATACCTCCTCTTCTGGCTTCCTTCCCTTATTTATAATACTTCCGTTACAATTCTGTTATATCAGCCTCTCCAATTGTCCAGTTTGTTATTTAGTTTGTTCGAGTGGTTGGCTATCAGTTACATTACTTAAAGGCTGATGTTGCCTTTTCTTGTGCACTTGTCCATCTGTTCCCCTTATTTGTGTCATAACACCCAATCCCAAAAGGCTCTGGGTTCCTTAAACAGCTGCCATCAAAATTCAGTTTTATGAACCCAGAAGGAGGAGGGGACCACAAAGGACTACAGTGCCTCTTACAGAGGGCAGAGGAAGCTATCTCCTTCCAATTTCTCACCAGATCAGCCACAAAATAATTTGAGAACAGTTCCATAGTTTTCAACCAATGTGCCACCCTTAACAGAATTAGATTCAATAAGTTTCCGATGGTTCTTTCCTCATCTGAAAATATTTGAGTTTCTTTCTTCCCATAGAGTCCAACACACTGCAGCCCTGGTGCTTCTCCACATAGTCTTCCCTCTTTTCTTCGGCCATCTGAAAAAGGAGGGAGAAAAAAAGCTTTCGGCACTCCCAGGGGGTATCCAAACACACCCAAAAAGGGAAAAGACCCACTCCCAAACTGATTTAGCAACTGAACAAGTAACCATAAGGTGGTAACCAGTTTCCCCATCAGCTTTACAGAGAGTACATCTATTAGGAAGTAAACAAGAGTCGGGTCTCTTATTTTGAAGGTCATTTGTGTTAATTCTTTCCAGAAAAGTTTCCTAGCAAAAACTACCAACCTGAGGAGGAATGGGTCTACTCCAAATTTCTTTAACCGGGAAAGACAACCCAATGGGATCAGAAGGCTGAGTTAAAGTCTCAAAAATGAGGCACAAGAGAAAACACCTGAAGAGGAGGGAATCCAAAATCTAGTGTCCTCCTTATTGGGATCCAAGAAAACATTTTCATGGATAGCTAACAAAGACAAAAGGTGGTCCAAGTCTGTATCCCTAATTGCCCTTCTCATCCCTAATTTTGTTATGAATAACAAAATTTTTAGTTATTCATAAAAAGAAAAAAAAAAAGAAACTGGCAAGAGCCACATAAATGGATCTCATAGTGATTTTTCCTTTTGGCTTCTCTTTCCAAGTTAGTTCATCTCTTTGGTGCAACAAGATGGATGCATCTTACCCATTCAAAAAGGGTTTTCTCTTAAAGCCATGTGGGATGACTTCTTTGTGTATCCATTCTTGAGATAACTAGCTTTTTCCTCTGCTCTTTAAGATATGTAGAAGTGCAACTTTTGTCATTAAAGTAAGAATACTTCTCATGTTTTAGACTTGGTGTAACTCAGCCATGGACTTTTAGTTGTCTTCCTCCTTGTTTTGTGCAGTTTCACTCCAACTGTATCTGGTTCTGCATGTTGGTTTTGTAGGTAATTGCAAACAAGATCAAACGTTGCAAAACTGATTCATTTTCAGGGTTTGTAGTTACTCTACATTTTCGGTCTTAAGTTTTGCTCTCTTCATATTTTTCTGTCTTGATTTTTTTCCCATCTTTCTCTTGATCAGCATGAACCTTTTGCATGTAATTTTCCTTTTCTTTATAAGGGGTTTCTATCTAACCTGTAATTTAACTGATCATAATGACTTTTTTTCCCTCATTTAATTCTTTTGTATATTTGTCATCTAGGTTGGAATTTGACAATCCTGACAGACCTGAATGCAATAATCTTCTTTCAATTTTTCAACTCATTACTGGAAGGACAAAGGAGGTACTGGAACTTAATATTTTTTCTTTGGTTTTAAACAACACCAAGGCTTTTGTATGGTTGTCTATGCTGCCGATTTTTGTAGGTTTATTTAGTTCCCTTTTCTTCTTAATCTTTCAAGGATTCTAGGGTCATTATCTGCAACCATGCAAAGCAGAAAGAAGATTTCATGGGTTATAATATATCAACTTGATATAGCTTTTTTGGTATAACTCAATATAGTATTACGCTATTAGTAAAAATGTTCTAAATATTTTCATATAAAGTACACCTAACATGATGTACAACAGTCTATTATTATAGGCTTCAGTGCTTGCCCTGTTTCTACTGTTGTTCAATCATTGCATCCATATGTTATTCTTTTTTATTGTAAACAAAATTACTTGTGTTCCATGGTAATCATATGGATATTCCTTTTTCTATTGGTAGTAAACCAAAGAGATTTCATTAAGATAAAAAGTTAGTACAATGCCAAATAGGGCGATGAGACTTTAATAATCAGAATTTTTGTTAGTAATTTTAGTATAACCGAATAAGTAGAAGTAATAAAGCATCAAAGAGAGTGCAGAGAAGAGAAAACGAGGAGATAATACATGAGAGATTGAAGGTAAAAAATTCTTGGGGTGTGTACCTCCTCTTCTATTTATATATTCTGCCTTATTAAATGAAATTGACAGAAATATTCTGCCTTATTAAATTGAAATAGAACAGCAATATAACAAGTGAACCTTGGGTTATGTTGTATTTTTCTTTAACCTATCAAATAAATCTCACATTGTGCATGTGACTAAGGTGTTTTCATGGCTAGAAGTTGGTTTAATTGGTTCAGGCCCTACTAACAAGTATGAAAAATTGTATAAAAGAAGGGGAGCAAGGCAAAGAGTTTCTGACCATGGGGTTCGTGCTGAAGAGGAGGTTGTGCAGCTAAACTTAAGCTGCAGGAACAGGAAAGCGTTGGGTTCACTTATAGGGGAGGTAGAGACAAGTGGAGTTTTGGAGGAGAAGAATAGGGAGGACGTTAGTGAAGTTGAAGAAAGAGTTTTTGAGGTGTCCTCAGAGGGATAGGGTGAAGGAGCAAGGTAGTATGGAGATTGAGAAGTTGGTTGACAGGGATGTCAAGGTTGGGAAATCCTTAGGCTTGTTTTTCTTAGGAGGTGAAGCTCTTGTTAGGAGAGTTTTTTTTTTTTGTTTTTTGATGAATAAAGAAAGATTTTATTACTTCAAGACTTAATAGAGAACTTTAAAGAGTTTGAGAGGAACAAAAGGGAAGAAAGACTGAAGAAATCTGTTGAGGAGAAGTTTGGAATGAGGAGGGTGGGCAGGAGTTACTTGAGGGGGAGGAGTGAAGTTGGAGTTGAGTAGGGGGTGGGGTCGTGAGGCTTGATTTTGGGAAGATATTTTGTTTGCATCCTGATTGTCCAAAGCAGAGATTTTTTTTTTTTTTGTGAGTTTTCGTTTTTGAAAGGAGGAGAGGGTGTTGGTGTAGAGACTGTGAGAAGATCTAGCCGCAGGACTATTTCTGTACTTTTACTTTTCTTTGTTGTATAACTATTCTTTGTACTCTCTTTCTTTTGTACACTAAGGGCAGATTCGTCCTTTTACCTTTTCAATACAAATATATCTTTTAGGGTGTCGACTGACACATGTTGTCACACTCACCAAATCTGTTCTCTTTCTTTCTCTCTTTCTGAACCTTCGACTTGACTCTGACAGTTGGGTATGTAGGTGGCTGCCCTTTGGGGCTGCTATTAGTTGTTTTTTTGGTTGTTATTTTTTAGCACCCTATTGGTGGTTGTATGCTGCTTTCTTTTTTATTTTTTAATAAAATTTTTCCTTTTACAATCAAAAGAAAAGGTGTTGTCCCAACCTTAATGAACTTAAGAGTTGGATAGCCAGCCCTTGCAAAGTGGAATTATGTTTTTTCCCCTTATGACCCATCATAATTACGGTGCAAGTTGGGCGGGTTGGGTTGAGTTCAGGGTCAACCTAGGACCAATCCTAAGATTCAAGCCTTGGCCTTAGGCTTGGTCTAATCTAAGGTCAACCCTGACTGCCTGAGTTTACTGGCTTTAGCCCAACCTAAGCTTAACCCAATACTTTGGGGTGGCAATTTCTGACCCAACCCACTTGACCCATCCAATCCATCCACCTGTAACCCACCCAAACCCATCCATTTAAGATGTGAGTTGAATATGGGTTGACTGACCCATTGGGTCAAATTAAAAGGATTGGGTTAGGTTGGGTCATGGGTATCCATTTGGGTCAATTATATGAAAGAAGTTCTATGTCACCATTTTCAATTTTTATTCTCTCTCTCTCTCTCCCCTCTCTGTTCTTCCAATTGTCTCTCCTTATTTCTCTCTCCTCTCTCCTCCCTATTCCCTCTTTTTTCTCTCCTCTCCTACAAATCTGTCCTCTCTCTCTCTCTCTTAATGAATCTCAATTTTTGTGTTTGTGTTGAAACCAACCAAATAAGGACATGTGGCAATATAGGAAACACCTAAAGATTTTTTTCCTCAGTAAGGATTTATTTACATAGTTTCAAATGTTCAAATGGGTCAAAATGGGTGGCTTATGTTGGGTTGCAACCCATGTACATACAAAATATATGGGTAATCAATGGATGTGTATGGTAGATGGATTGGTTGGTCTTCAACCCACATCCAACCCAACCCAACTCATCCAATTGCCATGGTGACGCCCCTAACACAACTCAGGCTGGCCGGTGCAGCTTGTTTGGGTTTGAAAGGCTTTATGAATAAGTTTTTGCACGGCTATCTTTAATTTGGCTTTATTATCTCAATTTAGGAGTAGAATGGATTGAAAATATGTACAAATTTCATTAACAAATTACAAATGTACATATACATATTTTATACATTTAGACATGTATATATAATTAGAAAAAGATGTTTTATATAAATAAAATGCATACATGTATTTATGTGGTCATTCTCAGGTTGAGTCAGGCCATGCTTGGGTTAAGCTTGCCCAAGTTGTAACCCTAATCATAATAGATGTGGTCAAAACCATAATGGGCCTATGAGCTGGGCCACTGTATCTTTAAATAGGCTAAAATAAATCTCATTAAGAATCAGCCTTACATACATTAGAGGCATCCCTTAATGGGCTTAACAATGGGCCTGTAAGAGTTGTTTTATGAGCTGGGTGGCCAACCCAGCCCTAATATGATTGGGACTTCAAAAACAAACAATAATTAATAGAAAACAATTTGGATGTAGGCTCCATTGTTTTCAATTCTACACTTAGCATGCAATATAGTCTCCTCTTTTTACTGCTACCAAAGAACTCCTTCAAATATCTTCAAGAAGAGAAATAAATTAACCTTGTAATCCAGGCATTCAGACATATACTTTATTTTATTTTTATACCCTTTTGGCTAGATCATGGTGTTGGCCAAAGCTGTTGTTATCAGTCCCAATTTGACAGTTGAGGTACTCAACCATTGGACTGATAGCAGTAGCCAATAATGGTTGCTAGTATGTCGTCTAGTCGGCTACGGCTGCTATTACCAATCCAAACTTCATGACATTTCAGCTGATGATACCTAATCCTGTTAACTGATAATAGTAGCAATATTGGTAGACAACCATTAAGTTATCTATGATGGTTTTGTATTGTGAGTTGTGACTACAGTGTGAACACATTGTAGATTGCAGGGAAGGCTTTAGTGATCTCCAAGTGTGAAAACAGAAGAACAAATAATCAACATTGCTAATCAAAGGTTATAGTGATCTCCATGGGTAGATCCAGTTAAAAGCTTTAAGAACTAAAGGTGATATCTAGGTGTAGATCACATTAAAAGAGCAATGAATCAAGATTACAAATCAAAGGTTATGGTGAACTCTAGGTCTAGGTCACAATGAAAACCTTTAAGGTTCAGAGGATATGTCCGGGTGTAGATCGCAAACAAAGCCTTTAAAGATAGTAAAAATTGGTCATAAAGACTTAAAAAGTTCAACGATTTATCAAGATTCAGGTTTAAAATAAAAAAATTTACCGAGATTAGTGGCTTTGATGATCTCTAGGTCTAGATCATCATATAGAATCTTTAAAGATTAATAAGTATCTAGATTAAGGATTAAACACTAAAGATTTATCAAGACTAAGGTTTTGATGATATCCAAGTGTAGATAACGATGTTGGAACTTTTAAAATAATTAACAAAAGCTCAATGATCGAGAGTTAAAGATTCAAAGATTTACTAAGATTCTTTACAAAAAAAAATTATTAAGATTAAGGATTAAAATTAAAGATTTATGAATCAAATAATAAATAAAATCTGATATTAGAAGAAGAGAATAGCAAGGAGAGAGAAGAATAAGAAAAAGACAAGAAAAGGAGTGAAGAGAAAATCAAATTGTGGATCTCATAATGTGTCCCCCAATCTCTTATATAATGCCCATTTTGAAAAATCCAAAAGGTCTGAATGCACTTAATTCAGCTGATAAATCAACTTTTTGGTGAAGCTAGTTTTAATAGCTCCTTCAAAGTGGATCAGTCAACACAGCTCAATCAAAGCTGAAGTCCTCCCAAATGGGCTCATAGTTGCTTGAAATATGTGTAAATTACAAAAGTACCCCTAATAAGGTGGCATCAACAACAGACGATAAGAAACTAAAATAGGCCCAGGGTGCAATAACAATAAACCCATCGACCAAATAAAAGTAGCTAATAATTCCACTTCTAATCCTGTGAGCACATGTTCAAAAATATGTTAGCTTTTGAAGAGTGGGATTGACATTTTATTGATTTCCTATAAACTGATAGTAGAATATAAGATGGTTTGGTCCAGTGTTTTAAAAGCACATGGTGCAAAAAAAAGCACAAGGGGCATTTTGCTCCCGAGGTGTGAGGTGCAAGGCGAGACACCTTTTTCGAAGCAAGCTCAAAAATGCAAAAATGCTGAAAAAATTCAAAAGAAAACCAAAATTAAAAATGCAAAAAATGTTAAACATGATATTTATTAAAATATAAACTTAAGTTTTAAAATAAATGTTTAAAAAAAATCTAATGGCTAACCTCCAACATATTAGTAATGTTGGTCGTGTATTCCTCCTTTGTATAGCAGCTTGTTATACTTGTTTTAATTTTTCAATGAAATTGTACTCTCTCTCTCTCAAAAAAAAAAAAAAACCTCCAACATATTAGTGAGAATTCAATGAGAGAGAATTCAAGGCTGGTAGACTTTCTGGCTAAGCAAGGGGTGCATAGGGGTCATTTATTTTGGGCTCATTTTTAATCTTGTTTTGCTTTTGAGGCCGCGACTCACCCCCTTTTATGGATATTGTATGCTGTATCCTGTAATAGTTCTTATTTACTCTTTAATAAAATGCTTTTCATTACTCATAAAAAAAATTAAAGTACATAAACATAACATGTAAAGCATATTTAAAACGGAAATTTAAAAATAAAATCAGGCATAACATATAAAACATATTCAAGCATGTAACACGCTCAATGTCTTTATTTTTTTCCCAATTGCGTTACTTCAAATAGCTAATGTGGTGTTAAACATTATGCATTCCTGATTCTACAAGCGACCTTTGTACCAAGCCTCTCAAGATGAACCCAAACAAGTCCATATCACAGTCTTAAATTCTTAATCCCTGTAAAAAGGTTTTGCAATTTTAATTTTTAAAATATCTTTTAGTAGGATGAATGAGTGAGCAACATTAGTAAATGGGGGTTTTCAAAGTGCAAATTTTCAAAAGGTGTGTGCCTGGGCTGAAGCGCTGGTGCACATTTTGAAAGTGTTACGCCTAGTGCCTTTTAAATCACTGGTTTGGTCACATGCTTAGAAGACCAACTGCTCCAGTTAGAAAAAGTGATTTGTTACACATTGAAGGGTCTAGAAGAGCTTGGGGTAGACCGAAAAGAACATGGGTAGTAGTAAGAAATGATTAATTAGTAATAGTTTAACTGTGGATATGGCTTTAAATAGAACGGATTGGGATAAGGCATGGATGATGATGGTGAAACTACTAGTATTTTTAATTTTTTTTTTCATTTTTTACTGTTGGATTTGGCCAAACTTTTGTCACTGAATTGGTCTTGGTTATTTTTTCCACCTTCATGGCTACAATACCACTTCAATCGGTTTGCAATCTTAAATATGAAGGACATTTAGTTGTATAGTTTCGCGTTTCTCAGTTGGCATTTCATAATTTCTCTTATGCACTAAATACTGAAAATTCCTCTTCTACAGGAAGTTGCACGAGAATGTCAAGATATGAATTGGGGCACATTCAAAACCCTCCTTGCAGATGCTTTGATTGATCATCTACACCCCATCCAGGTTGTCTCAATATAATGTCTTCATAGGTGCTCTTGTAGTGGTTAAATTATAAGTAGAATGTATTAGTTTTGTTATTATAATTGACCTTAAAAAAGGAAAATAATAAGGATAAAATAAGAAAAGTAAAGGGAAAGTAGTTCAAATTCTTGGAAGAAGAAGAAGAAGAAAGGGAAGAGAAGTGAGAAAGAGGGTTTCCAATTGAGAGTGTTCAAAAGTATCACTTCCTCTATACTGTCGACCCTATTTGTTTATTCTTCAAATATATTCAAAATTACATTTGTGCCCTTACGTTAGAACTCTATGGGAGAGAATAGAAAAATGACAAAATGATTGATATACCCCTGCCAACTAGACTTTAACACTCTCCCTCAAGTTGGAGCATATATATCATAATGCTGGATGGGGCATATAATCTATTCTTGTACGGCTCAAACTATTGGTAAAAAGATTGGCTAGTTTGTCTTTTGACTTTACATACAGTGTGAAAACATCACCACCTACTACTTTTTCCATCACAAAATGACAGCAACCTCTATGTGCTTAATTCTCTCATGAAAAATTGGATTCGAAGTAATGTGTGTAGTAACTTGATTGTCACAAAACAGTTTAATGGGTCTGTCCACAAGAATGCCTTTCTCCTGAAGGAGATGCTTCAACCAAATCAATTCATAGGTGGTGTATGCTATCTCTTTGTACTTAGTTTCTGCACTGATACTGGCAACTACACTTTGCTTTTTTACTTTCCTAAGTAATAAGATTTCCACAGAGAAATATACAATAGGCCGTAGTGGATTTCCTATCCATTAAGGATCCTGCCCAATCAACATCTAAGTACCCTTCTAGTAGTAATTGTCCCCCTTTCTTCTATAGTATACCATGGCTTGGACTTGGAGCATCGTTTAAATACCTCAACACTCTCATAACACCTTCCCAGTGAGCACTTTTGGGATTCTCTATAAATTGGCTTAATGCCCCTACACTGAATGAGATATCAGGTCTAAAGATCGCAAGGTAAATCAGTTTCCCAACTAACCTCCTATATCTTTTGGGATCACTTAATGGTTCCCCTTGACTATCAGTTATCTTCACATTAGGATCCATGGAAGTCTCATCTGGTTTGGCTCCTAACAACCCTGTAAGGTAAGTCAGTTTCCCTTAATGGATCCCCTTGACTATCAGTTATCTTCACATTAGGATCCATGGGAATCTCTGTGACAAGGAAATTCCTCACTTTCAACAAGCAATTTTAATAACCAAGAAATACTTCAAGGAGCCTAGATCCTTGGTTTGGAAGTGCTGATGTAAGAACTGCTCTTCAAAGATTCCTTCTACATCACTACTGGTGAGAACAATATTATGAACATATACTGCCAATAGAATCATCTTAGAAGAAGAGTTCTTGCTAAAAATAGAATGATCAACACTGCATTGTTTTAGGCCAAATTCCTGCACCACATTACTAAACCAGCCAAACCGTGGAAACTGTTTCAGCCCATAAATGTCTTTTCTCAGTTTGCACACCTTTCCTATCTGCCCTTGAACAACGTACCTAGGGGGTTGCTCTATATACACTTCCTCCTAAAGGTCACCATGAAGGAAATGCATTATTGACATCAAGCTGGAATAGGGGCCAATCAAAGTAGGCAGCTAAGGAAATAACTACCTGCACAGAACCCATTTTTAGAAATTGGAGAAAATGTTTCTGAATAATCAACACCTTAAGTTTGTGTGTATCCCTTGTCCAATAAGCAGGCCTTTAATCACTCAACATTAGAACACTACTATCTTGGCATCATCTTGGTAATGTTTCACTGTATACACCCATCAATAGCCAACTGCTTATTTTCCAGGAGGTAAGGAGGTAAGATCCCACATATGATTGGACTGAAGAGCATGAAATTCCTCGTTATCGACCTTAAGAAAAGGAAAATAATAAGGATTAAAATAAGGAGATAAGTAAAGGGGAAAGTTCTAGGAAGAAGAAGAAGAGAAGGAAGAAGATTTATAGTCAAGAGAGATCAAAAGTATCGGTCCCTCCATACTGTTGATCCTATTTGTTAATTCTTCAAATATATCCAAAATTACATTTGTGCCCTTACATAAGAACTCTATGGGAGAGAATAGAAAATAACAAAAAGATTGATATACTCTTGCCAACTAGTCTTTAATAGTTATCTTGCATACTTAGAACAGGCATGTTGATGTTCCTTTTGTTTCTTGGTTTGTATGAACTAGCAGTGGTGTAAGGGGTGCTGTTACAGACCTGGCCTTTCCTTTTCTGGGTTTGTGTGAACCAGTAAATGATAACAGTATTGTTATCTCATTCGTTCCTGTGGGCTAGTGTGAAACTTTAAACTGAACAGAAGTGGTGGCATACTGACATTGTGTAGTGACAGCAGTGGTGATTTTTCCTTTCAGGGTTCATGCGACTCCTATAAAGGACTGCAGTGGTACTGGTGGTGGATTTTTGACTGTTTTCTTTGGAGGCCGTTTGTTCTTTGTTAACCTGAATCTTGTTTCTTGTTGGAGAATCCTAGCTATGGATGATTCAGTCACATCTAGAATATAAGGAGCAAATCATAATTTTGGTAGTGTTGGTAAAAGTATCAACTTCCTGAATCTTGTTTCTTGTTGGAGAATCCTAGCTATGGATGATTTAGCCACATCTAGAATATAAGAAGCGAATCACAATTTTGGTAGTGTTGGTAAAAGTATAAACTTTCGGATATCTATTACACCCGTAGATAGGCTTACTTGGAGTGAGCAAAATTAGTTTGACACTCTGACTATTTATTGGTGGAAGTGGAAAACTGGGATATCTTAATAGGAAAATTAAAGAATCACAAGAAGACAGTCCAGCACATGACAAGTAGGAACAGGATGACTATATGTTCATTTCCTTGTTATCCTGTTTGCAACCTACCTTAAGGAAGAACTTTATGTGGTTTGAAACAGCCAAGGAAATATGGGATCAGGCCAAATGTGCATACTCAGAAGAGAGACACTTTACTCAAGTATATCAGCTTTAAGTTGAGTCGTTCTCTTGTTGACAAGGGAGATGAGTCCTGTCCATCTATTACACCATTCTTTACTCTTTGTGGATAAAGCTGGATCTATAGGAGACCATAGATTGGGAGAGTGAGAAAGATTCTACAGCCATTTTTTTTTTGTAGGAATTAAGAATTCAAGACCCTAACATGCACTTGTTTGGGCTTGCCTCAAGGGACTTGGTACAAAAGCGGCTCGTAGAATTATGAATGAAAAATATTTAACATCACACTAGCTATTTGAAATAATGCAAATATGAAATTGGGAAAGAAATAAAGAAATTTGAAAGGTTGACATGCTTGAACATGTTTTCCATGCTATGTTTGAGATAATCAGTTGTTTAAAAATTTGGTTTAAAATTAAAGTTTGCTTTTTTAATTAATACTAAATTAAAAAAAAACAGCCTTTTGAGAAGAAAGGACTGTTTAGAAAGATGCAAAAAATCAAAAGAAAGTAGCAGAAATGAGAGTTCAAGAGGAGAGAAGATGAAGAAGAAGGTGGTGGCAACTTGGGTTCAGAGAGAGAGATTTTCGAACATAATCTCTTATCTTACACCCTCAATTCTATTTTATTAAGTTAAGCTTTGGTAATTTACAGAGAAGCTCCTAGTTGGGCAGAAAATTAAAAAGACATAACATAAGAAAGAATAAGCCCAGATTAAGGCCCATTACAACAAAGAACATAAAAGATAAAAAAGGATAAACAGCCTATGGGCTATTCGGCCCATCTTCTCTACACTCCCCATCAAGCTGAGCATTGATGTTAATCATGCCAAGCTTGCCAGTATCATGCTGAAGTTTAGCCTTGGGAATGCCCTTGGTGAGGAAATCTGCTAACTGTCCTTCAGAGGTGATGAAAGGTAGACACACTTCTCCAGAAGCCACTCTTTCTCGAATGAAGTGTCTGTCAACTTCAATATGCTTAGTTCTGTCATGTTGCACTAGGTTGTGAGCAATATTGATGGCGGCCTGATTATCACAGTATAACATCATTGGCTTATCATGCTCAATACCCAGTTCCTCCATCAAGGATTTAAGACACAATAGTTCAAAAACTCCATGAGCCATGGCTCTGTATTCTGCTTCGGCTGAAGATTGAGCAACAACTGATTGTTTCTTGCTTCTCCAAGAGACAATATTACCTGCCACCAAGCTACAATACCCAGAGGTAGATCTTCTGTCATCAATGTTTCTAACCCAGTCAGCATCTGTGTAGGCTTCAAGTTTCATATGGCCATGCTTGGCAAATAGAATCCCCTTTCCAGGGGAGCCCTTCAAATAACATAGGATCCGCTCTACTGCTGCCATATGAGTATCCCTGGGAGCATGCATGAACTGACTGATGCAACTGACAGCGTATGCAATGTCTGGCCGAGTCATGCATAGATAAAGAAGTTTTCCAAGTAGTCTCTGGAAGATTCCCTTATTTTCTAACAATATTCCATCTGATGCAGAGAGTTAATGGCTCATATCGATAGGAGTAGCAACTGGTCTAGCACTCATCTTCCCTGTTTCAGAGAGCAAATCAAGAACATACTTCCTCTGAGAGATAAG